CATAGGCCTGAGCAAGATCCTCGGGTCCTGCTGGGCCTTCACTTACTTAGCCCTCGTCCTCGGCAAGCCCAGGTTCCAGACGATGCTCGACCCTTCCCTCCTTGCGGGCAAGGCTTCTTCCGCCGGCGGTGCCGCCGTCTCTGTCTCCGGCGGCGGCGGTAATAACAGCGGGCTTTTGGATGGCGGCGTCCTCGCCGCCGGGGAAGGGGTGAACACGGGAGAAGTCGTCGAGAACCACGACGGTTCGCCTGACGGCACCGTCAAGGGCAGCAAGGCGTGGGGCGTCGTCCGCATGCTACGCCGACGGGCGGAACACCGCCGCCGCCGCCGCCTCCGCCACCGCCGCCGTCGCGTGACGGTGACGTCGGCGGCGGCGGTCTCCGCCGAGCATGATGCCACGAGCGTGCTGAAAACCTCCGGAGTCACCGGGAGGGTGGCGGCGCCGATGCCGCTACGGGCCGGCAAGTAAGTTTGGAACCGGCGCCACTGCTAAAATCTCGGGAAGAAGTGCAAGGGAGGCATCGTACTTGACACTCCTAAGAGATGGAGAGTGGCGGCGTCGATGCCGGTACGGACCGGCTAGTAAATAATGCAAGAAATGAAAAGGACACTTTCACGAATAAAATCTAGAAAGACAAGGAAGCAGGGTCAGAGCCGACGTGCAAGCACATTCCGATGCACTTTCCACGCCAGCGATATTGCTGCAAGAGGCACTCGACAGTGCTAGAGGAACAAAGTGGCAGCGTCGATGCCTGCCACTGATGGCCTGGAAATAATATTTGATGCGGCGCTGACGAGTAAAATCTAGGAAGTGCCAGCGAGGCAGGGCACTTTGACATCAGTTCTAGGGGAGAGGTTGTGGCGTAGTTTTACAGCGGCACGCCGGCTAGCGGCAGCAGGGAAAGCCTGTACGTAAGACCGCATCGTGTGTGAGCATGGCCACGGGGTGTTACCGATTGTAGCAAACCGGTTGACTGGCCTGCCGCTTGAAAAAGACTTCGATCGGGCTCAGTAGCGAGCACAAAGTGTCAACACGGTGTTTTTGTTTTTGTTTTGCGTCGCGTATGAAAGACAAGATAAAATCGGGGCGGCGTTCAGGAGTCTACAAAGCTTAGGCGAGGCGTCGCTTGGGGGGGGGAGTTAACTCGTGTAAACGCTGCCGTAAGTGGTGGACCATAGACCGCGCATCCCCTACAACGACGGGACGCAGCGATATGCCAGGTCACATTGTGGGTGTTTGTAGACTAGAGGGGACTCGGTTACAGCAACCAGCCCAGGTGGTTGGCCTAGTGGTTGCAAGACCTGTCCTTCGAAGTTTCGGTTTCAACACTCGCGGCGCTGGGAGTGCCAAGCGGTGTGCTGCCCGTCTGCGCCGAAATGTAGAGCACTTTTTGAGCAGGTAGTTTTCTCGAGATTGACGTGTTATTAACAACGCTGCTCCATGGCTATCGACCATGTTGGCAAAGCGGCTTGGATAAGACGTGAGTTACATATGTCTGCATTGTTGTAGAAGAGGGGTGGTTGTCGTATTTATCGACACCATCTCGAGCTTCGCGTTCAACAACGGCAGCAGCAGCAGCAGCAGCATTGTGGATGCTTCGTTGTTTTTTTCTCACCCATCCTATTCCAGGGTGCAGGTCTGCACCTACCGTTCGGTGTGAGTGTTTGACGACCAGCCGGGGTCACACAGGAAGAATTATCCACTTTTTTCCTCCTGCGGTGTTTTTCTTCAATTTATAAAATGTGACAAGGGATAGAAGTTCCTCCCCTGTGTGATGGTTTTGGCACGTAAAACTGGATTTGCGTACCGTGGGTTTTCGGGGACAATCCCCAAGCATGGTTGTAGGATTCTCCAATCATTCTGCGGTTGACTACTGCTGGACTCACACAGAATCACTCCTATGGTAAAGATTGCTGCCCTAACGACTCTTTGAGATGGCACGCCGAGCACAGCAATCCAGGTACCGCCGCCGCTGCAGCTGTTGCTCCTCGCCCCTTTCGGACTCCCGAGCCGCCGACGGTCTCAGTTTCCCCCGCTAGCTCTCCCCGTTGCTCCCGACTCTCCCTCCTCCCGCCCGCTACGGAAGGGAGCACTGCCGTTGTGCCCGCTGCAGGTGTCGCCGTAGACTCCCTGAGTCTTGGCATTGCTGGCGTCATTGCTTTCGTCGTCGTTGGTGGTGGTGATGGCAGGTGCGACCCCACTTCAGAAGCGGAACGGCCACTGCCGCCGCCTGTGCTGTCGTCTCCGCGCGGTTCCCGCTCCGGTGTCGGCGCCACCGGCGTCGGCGTCGAGAACCCTGCTACTTCCGGTCCTCCAATCCCCCTCCCCTCCACGCCAAGCACGGACGAGACGCAAGTGTCGCACACGAGGAGAAGCATGCGACACCTGCCGGCAACACGCAACCGCGTGCAAGGACAGCAGCAGCAGTTTGTTGTTGTTGGGGCGAAGTCGCAACGCAATCACAAAAAGTGAAGGAAACTTGATATTTCACGTCCTAATCTCGCGCCACCTGGCATACCAATATGCTACAATGCCCCGGCCGTCGAGGGGTACGATGTTCCGTCGAACAGTAGATCGCTTCAGAGGAATGCGTTTTGGATACATGAGGTTGTCGCCATCCGCCCACAGAGACTCGTTTGGAGTGCTCAGTTCTCTCGACATTTCCGCCGTATCCAATCGCATTGTGTGGTACATAGCTCCCCTCAGAAGCATATTGGTCGCCGATTCGTTGCCAATCTATTCCGGACTCATATCTGTGGAAGTTTGTTTTGTTTGTGAGAGAAAAGAGAAAAAAATACTAGAGGTACCGTTTCCGCTGATTCTCCCCTTGGCCTTAAAAATGAACCGCAGAAGCCGGCCGGTGGCGCCAAACATCTACCAAGAGTTGTGAAGGCTGGCGCCCAGAATAGATGGGACGCAAAAAAAGCACATACCCGTTCGTGGATCTTGACTAGTACCCTCAAACACCGACGTGTTTTCATCCGCCAGCCTGCTAGTACGCTAGCACGGCCAACGAAACATGAAGAAACGCTCGCATAGCCTAGCCCTCCCTGGTCCGGTGAGAACCCGGCGTGCTCTGTCCCGGCTTTGTAGGGATGCGAGGTCGATGGTCTAACGACTACGGCATGCACGACTATGAGTACA